GTTAGTGGGGTATTCCATGTCATTTCTCTCACACAGCAGTTACTCGATTCAGGATGACGCCGTCTAGGCACAAAACGGCATACTTTCTGTTAGACTGGTAGATAAAGCTTCGGGTTAATTGAGATGATAGATTTCGCATCACGTTGCCATGATGTCAGAACCCCTAATGATTTATGTGCGTTATATGATGTGCTTTGGGAGACGAAGCAAAAATTACTGTAACATAGGAAGAGGTCACCACCCTCTGTTCATGTGGTGTGCCAACATGCCGCTTATGCCGCTTGTAATGTCAATCAGGATGATAGTTTTGCGATTGATATACACGATGTAACCTACTGCTCTTTACCTTCGAAAGTCGTTGACTTCTGTGCTATGTTGAGCGTTTATCTGAGGTAAGTAGACTGATTGCTGCGCTGATGACGGTCCATCTCGTTGCGCAAGCGTTTTGTTATAAGCGGAATTCACAATGATGTACTCCATGATTTTCTTGGATTCGAACACCGTTGACGTGTACATGTATCAAAACCTTATTGATATCATTTTATGTTTTGAGCTTGAGAATATTCCGAAAACCTAAAAATAATCAGATTTTGGATCAAGTTAGGTGGATGGATATCAAGGTATCTTACATATTACATGAGCAAAGCCTAGAAATGTCAAAGTATATCCCCCTGATGAAGTATCGGGAATACGTACGACGGTGAGGGATGACAAGCTTTGCGCTACATAGGGCTTTATTATGTCAATGTTAAAACATGAAGGTTCAAAACCAATCTGAATAATTATAAATTTATGTCACTCTTGAATAAAGAGCAAAAAAAATCCTCGTTTCTCAAAAGGCTGCCATTTCCACCCCTGAGTGGGGCGTACAAACCTCACTCTGTGCTGATTTTTTCGCGACTTAGGCTGAGGATAGCGGCGTAGGCAGCCCAAGGACCAAAAGCGATTTTCGAGCGCATTAAGGCGTTACACAGCTATGAAAAAGAGCTGGCGAGACACCTCCAGAAATGCCGTCAACAGCCATCGGTGGAGGCAAATTGGGCCGATTCTTCTAGACGCCCAACCCTTTGAAAGCAGGTATCGTAAGAATCAATCCCCTACCAAATAGATGGAGATGGCGTTGAACTCGGTCAAGCGTCAAAAGGATCGTCAGCGCATCGCGCAAGTGGTCTTTAAGCTAGGAAGTCGCATCAATTACCGCGAAAGTGTCTTACACCTCTGAAAGAGGTTCTCCACGTAAAAATTAGTAGGACGACAGGTATCGCGAATGTAAGCAAGCAGACAGAAGTGGGATGCAACGGGATCGACGTGCACTTTGCAAATAGGAAACTTTGACTCTCAGTTCGCGTTAACGTTGACAAAGGTACAGGACCAAGACTCTTTAGAGTTAGCTTACTTTTGTATGAGTACAAATATTTTGGATTGATTTCTTAGACTATCTCAAACAGTAAACGTTTTGCAATTTTTCATTAATTCTTTCGGAGATGCGGCTAGCAGCTTAAGTGCACCCCAGACCAATATTTCAGTACTTATGAAGTAATTTGGGTTGTGTGAAATTGTACCGTAATGTGGTACATGTAATTTAAGCGATTGTGTTAGAGCTAAATATACAAGATTACATGAATGATCTCCCTACTTACTTGGGAATCGCGCCGAGGTTCCCCCGTATCTGGAGTAAAACAATAAATCTCTGAACTTTGTCAAGTCTGTTCATCTGATCGTTAGCGAACCGGGAGCTCGATCCCGTGCATTAAACTAGATGGCCAACGAGTCTCCGCTAAGGGCGCGGTCTTCGCGATCTAAGATAAAAAAATTCTATTCGAGTATGCCGAGATTTTCATAGATGAGATCGTTTTAATGATCTTTAAATTTTGACGTAACTACTTCGCCCTCGGCTGACGATACACGCCTAACCACCCACGAAGAAGGAGATGCTCCCTGTGCTCATCCATCTGCCCAAGGTTCAAAATCCTCACATTTTCCAGCGTTTAAAAAGTATTTTGACATCTCGCCGTGGAACCCACGACAATATTGAGCTACTTGATAGCCGGCTCAATATTCTCTATGAGCCCGGTTTGCTCAACTACAAGCGCGAAAGGCATCCCGACTGTTGCCCATTTTACGACGCAATTACGCTTTTAAATACTCAAAATCGCTCGTTGCGCAGGTGCAGGACTTATATCTGGTTATGCTCGTGCTATTTTTCCCATAGTCATATCAAATGGAGCGCGAGAAAATTGCTTTGCAAGAGATTTCTTAGCCCATTGGTTGCCCCTTCCCAGGGCTACAGTCTGCGCTTACAGTTGCAGTGGTAGGAGAAACTCATCCTCGACTACGAGTATATTCTGTGCACTAGAAACTGGCAAAATTGCCGCTAAGAATCAGACTCAGTTCGCGCGTTGGGCGAGAAAATCACGCCGCATTACATGTCTTGAAGCTTTATGACAGAGCTTCAGTGATTCAGACCCCCCCCTAGAGCTTCGACGCATACTTCACTTCGTAAGGCACAAAACATGGCGTGGATGTCGAGGTGACAAGTTTGAGCATAGCCGTCTTACTCACTACTAGAATCAGCTCCTCCATCACTACCAACAATATCCTTTTGGAGACTGCGCCGTCTTCTATCACATTTAGAGATAACGATTAAAGCTGAGTGAGAGTTACATTTTGGCGAAATGAAGCAAGACTCACAAACGACAACCCCAGCCACTTAATCTGCAAATAAATAATTTGTTGCAATAACCGCGGACATTCATTAATTCACGCAGTGGGTGTGTCGCATAGTTTTGTTGACGCAACAGTACCGTTATATTCTGACAAAAGTGAACAATTCATCGAGACAATAAGGATCAGACGTTCTACTAACAAATACCAGCCGCCCGTCTATATCAGCCCTGGCACCGAATTCGTGACAATATTTAGTCGCTCTTAATCTCCACCAACTCTGGCACAGAAAGTAGCAATATACAGTTGTCTTACTCTCTATCGGGCCTACATTGGCTTAGAAGTAGTACCCAACATTTCGCCAGATGTAACCACCTTATATAGTTTCACAATTCCGTTTCAGTGGGGTGGTGTTTATAACTCATTAAGAATCCTCAATGTGGAAATTGCATGGCACATAAAGATTTCAATTTCTTCCTGCGCTCAGCCACGCGGGATATGATTTTATATATATTCATATCCAGGCCCAGAATCAGACAGGCTCTCCGCGGTAAAATCGTCAATTTAGAGAAAAAGGCCAAATGAGCCTTATCTTGTTCCCATCATTAGACGCACATCTATTGATATAATAAGAGGTATCATCTAATCTCTCACCTTGTGTTTCCTACTTTCGATGATCGTGTGCCGAATGTAGTTGCACGGCGTTTCTTAACGTTTGAGAACAAAACCCGGAGAAATGGTAATAACAATACTGGGGTGTGGTCCTTAACGCTGTGTCAGAATGTTGCTTCTTTTAGAAACGATCCTTTGAGCTCAACCTTGACGAGGTTCAATGAGGTCCTCTCCTCTCGTAGAATCGGACGACTATTCGATGAAGTTCGAGTTTCCACACCTCCCAGCCAGAGAAAAAAACGTTTGGTCCATCCACAAAACAAATATCTGCAAGTACCACGGAGTCGCTCGGCAGTCAGGATGATTTGTCTTTTCTTCTTTGAATAGCTGAGGTCCGTCGTCTCTGGTGGGCTTGTAGAGCCATCACTACCCGCACTTCAACGATCAATTGCAGTACAAAAGCGGTAAAAACGCGAGATTCATCATTTTCTTGAAAGTGGTAAAATGTGCGCAAACTGGCACGATGCGAGCCGCACCTGTTTGGAGACCGTCCATAAAAATGCTATCTGTTACAATTCATATGTATAGTCCACTAATTCACACTTCCCTCGACGGGTAAAACAAAATTGGAAGAACCTTCTCGTCAGCTGTCAAGGTGGTGTCAACAACTGGGTCATATGTCGTTTTAATCCGATGTAAGTAGATCGCACGATCAGCGTTAGTAGACGCACGGCGGTAGTTTATCGTGTTCCCACTAACGACTTGTTGATACATTTAGCAATTTCTCAATGATAGCTCTTGTAACTAGGATCAATATACATACGACTATCCGTCGCTGCTTCTGGTTCTGAGACCTTCAAGCACGTGATCTCCTTACAGGCAACTAAAACCATAGAATTATTAAGCAATTCTAGCTGTCTAAAAAACTAATAGTCCAACAGCTAATGCTCCGTCTTCAAAGAATGACTTGTCTCCTTCATCACTCCGTCATCGGGGTTGATTGCAAGCGAAAATAAGGGTTCCCTGCACCTTGTACAGCGAAGACTTTGACTCCAAAAAAAACCCACGCTAACAACACAGAGGGAGTAAATTCGTAGGCTTCAAGGTGAAGCGGTACCACAATCCTCTCGAAAAACGCAAAGTTTCTTGCTGTTTTTTACTTTGAGAAATGACAAATACATGGGACTGTGTCTTTTTATGCTACACGTTATACTTTGCTTAACTACAGTATTGTTTCAATGCATGTCGTTAAATTACAGTCCAAGACCTCCTCTCCTCTCTCATCAGCATCATTACTCAATTCACCGAAGTTGTGCAAAATTCAACATAAGTTAGAGTTTTATTTTGTAGAATCGCGATAAGTGTACATTAGCTCTACACTATTTTACAAAAGAATGATTTGTTTTTTACAATTACGATTATAGGTATTGGATAATTTCACAATAGAACATAACTTAATCCATAACTTTTGGAAACCATGGAAATTGGCAACCTGATCCCAATAGCTTTAAATGTTTCCATCAAATATTCACCTCTTGAGATTGGGTACGAATATTGATCCGCCGGACCGACAGCAGCTTCTTTCGACACATCAAGCGCGTTGGTAATCTCGATCTTACGCTCGTTGTCGTTGGGCAGAACGACTCGCTCAACCATGGTGCTTACCCCTTGATAGCAGCCTTTGTGCCATCATCATCCTTCTCCACCTGCTAAGCTTATTCGTACAGCACGTTACCTTTGCTTGACCGTGTTATTGCCGATGTGGTGCGTCTCACCACTGTTGACTTCCCAAACAGCGTTTTTTACGGTGGATATCATTGTTAAGCGGTCAATGGTTGAATTCGACAGCTTGCTTGGAGTGACAGCTCCAGTCGAGGTGGACGTCTGTCACGAAACGACCCCAGAGTGTCCGATTGACACGCTGACCGCTCCTGAAGGGCACCACATCAATTTAAGGGCTTAGACTACCACTTCGATCCCCAAACACGGATGACGCTACTTTGCATATGATGAGATATAACAGTACATGTATGCTCGGGATTATTAAGTCTGGACATTTCACTTTGCTCTATAAAACAACCGCAGTAATGTACCTTTTAGCATCGATGCGTTCGGTCATTTGGCTGTACGACATTGATACGGTCATGGTTTTGCACACGTGCAGCATGCGCATCGACAAGCCTTATAGGCAGGCTGGAAAGCATCCCATAGCGTAGAACGGCAGCGGATATCTGAGAGTGCATAGCAAGCGATTTGTGTCTGTTTGGGTTTCAGTGCAAGATCCTGATCTGCATGTTTTACGGAGCAGAGCTATATTGAGGTCTGTGTACCGAGTTTCGGACTGGTTTCGAATGTTCGAACACCAGGATTTGACCGCACAAGTAGCGTGTGACTTCAAATAGTCACAAGACAGCAAGACGTACTTCTTCTACTAGGTAGAGATATACTGGCACGAGCTCTAGACATTTGATCCTGTTATAGAGCGGCTTAATTAGAGATTTGCGATATAAATCGCTGTAGCTCGAGCATTTGAGGCTTCTTGCGACATATAAAAACTCCAAGAGAAACTAGCTCGAGCATTTTTTATACGCGGTGAGAGTAAGCGATTCGTGTGAAGTGCTAATGCGTAAGAATTTGGTCGATCGCTCCCTACGCGCCGAGTAAGTTACGCACAATGCGCATTGCAAAATGGAGCAATGCGTCATTACTTCACTGTGCAAATTGTAGGGATCGCGCATTCAGGACAGTCTGACAAGATGGATACCAGACATCTCGCTATTTTAAGATGGACGTTGCTGCAATTATCATCAAAATTAGATCGATCAAGACTCGACTGTGCTTTGGCTACGGCAAGTTTGACCACATTCTGGCTGCTTGCACTAACGAGATAATTTACAAGAATGCACGTATCATGGTAACAGACAGGAGACAACACAATGAAGGAACATGTAAGTTCACGTTGGTGTGTGCGGGATAGCAGCTCGGAATACAAGACCTAATCTTAAATACCAGGCCGATCCAGCAATCCACAATTGGTGCGGTGTCGACTAAAAATAAAATCCAAATGTGATGAGTCAAAGTATAGGATATTGTACGTCTACAATCGGTGATCACTACATCTCTCAGCACTCGTTGGGTCTTTTTGATGTGGTGATACAGAACAGCGTGCTCGTTGAAGAGACACAATCTACACAATGACATTAGCGAGGGTGACCATCAGCGCATAATTTGTCGTCGGTTTATGTGAATGACGTGCGTCCAGAGTAAATATTCGAAAAATATGCAATATAAGATAAATTCAAGTGTGCACTCCTTTACTGGTTGTACCAACCATGGGATCTGCTTTAGTTTTGACAAAACAATGACGTCAAGAGATTCATTCCGGAACCATTTTCCCGCTAGTTTTGTAGCTAATATAGCAACTACTATCGCGTTCTCGTAATATGCATCTCAAATCAGTGGCAATAGACTAGAAAGCCTTCGATGCTTTGAAAAACAGTCCCACTTAAATCCAATGAATTTTACATCTGGCAATCGACGTGCAACATTTCTCAAGTGTTCTGAACATGATCTCGGATATCTATTCGAATAGTTCCTTCCGTTGTATTGCCTCTAGTGACACCATTTCTTCTTGAAGGTACATCGGTCGCTGACAATGCGATCTCGTCGTCATCGGCACGTTAATGTCCTGAATCAGGCTCACTTATTCAATGTTCATTGATTTTGCATCTGTGAGGAGATAAAGCTGGTAACAACTTCTTGGTCATCACAGTCTGTGAGAAATTGACTGACTGGCTCGGGCATCAGCTATGATCCAGTAGGTCTGTCGTCAAATATTATTTGGTCGTCGTTTAGCGAGCGATGTCGGTGCGTCACGATTGCACTTGAACATCCTTGAACCAGCTCACCACGAGGCAGACTCAGATCGTAATCCCTGTGGCAGATATTTGATTAGGTCGCTGAAGCAACAGTTAAGCTGTGATCAGAGGCTGCGATTGCTCGAATATCTCGCTGCTCCCCCTCAACCGAAAGCATTGCACTGCCACTAACGGGATATGCGCTTCAGACGCATTGTTATTTAAAATACCTTCGAGTGTGCTTCTTCGTCGTCAATCTCCAACCTTTCTCATTGGGGGTTTTGTGTTTGTTAAAGTGAGCACTCGCTACCATGTCCATCGTCATAATCGTATACCGAAGTTTGAGGTGTGTGGTACTTCCTGTAACGGGGTTACACATACTCTGGTAACAGGGGTGTATGTCACACCAGATGGACATGGTGTGACCACACCAAAACGAGAATGCGGTACGGGGCTGGATAGCCATTAGTTCTACATGTATTTAGATTTTACTATACATATTTGGAATATCGATGTATTTAAAATTAGGCGGCTTTGCCGCAGATAAAAATAAATAAAGTCAATTTGAATCTAAGCCGAATAGTTAATTAGCCTTGGGTTAAGGCAATAATTACTCTTGGAGTAAGCGGGTTGCGATCCGTCAGACTCGTACTTGTTCTGAGTATAGAACGAAAGGTCTGTGACCTAACTTACGATTCCTCTAAGCGCAATGCTGCGGCAACCCCGCTGCACTTTGTAGCCTTAGTAATCAAGCTACACCTGAGTCGTTTCGACTGATCCTTTGTAAGGATGGAACAATTTTCCTATTTGCCCCCGGGCATGCAGGACGGGCTTAACAAGCTCATGTCCTTGCTTGGCCCTGAGGGCGTGCAACACCTTGTAGCGCAAGGCCCCAAAGCAATCGGTTCGCGTCTAGAGGCGTTTTCAAATTTCGAAAACGCGCTGCTAGAGCACCTGCAGCAGAGAACGTCTGCTTCATTTGCGTCTATGACGCCACTGTCGGTGACGGAAGATTTTCCCCGCCCTAAGCCGCTCATGGTGAGTGTTAAGGCCTTTGAGGGGAAGGATGGAGAGAATTTCCTGCTCTGGGTGGAAGAGGTCGAGATGGCCATCGCATCTGCCATGCTCCAGACCGACCAACAGCGCGTAGCGCTAGCCATCTCAAAGCTCGGTGGTCGAGCGCGAGAATGGGAACTGACGTGCGGTACTTCGGTCGAAGTTGCGTTTCCCTCCTGGGCAAAGCTGAAATTGCAGCTCTCACGAGTGTTCTCGCCGCCTAATCAGGTGTATCTCGTGTGATCGCGTTTCCTTGCCACCTGACAGGGCAACAGGGAATTAATGGACTTTGTCCAAGAGTTGCGAACTCTCATTACCGGGATGGCAGCATATCGTCTCCGGAGGCGGTCACAGTGACCATGTTTATGGAAGGCCTTCGCACTGGCGTGGCCAGAATGGAAGTTCTCCGTGTGCATCCGTCTTCATTTGAAGAGGCGGTGAATGTGGCCCTGAATGCCGAATTCAATTTCAAGTCGGCATGACTTGGCTGGAATGCACACTCCAGCAGCTCGTCGGGCGGGCCCATGCCAATGGAGCTCAGCTATGCTGAGGACGAGGGAGCAAAGCTCCGAGCTGCCGAGCAGCATACACGCATTCGACGGTGTTTTGTCTGTCGAGACACCCGTCACCTTCGGAACGGTTGCCCCCTGCGCAAGGCGCGTCAAGGTTCCTCGAACCATCGCCCCAATGCCAACCAGTCTGATTTGTCGCGGGGAAACGACACCACCCAATAGGCGCGGGGCGACCTAATGGTGTAGAACTGAGTTCTGTTGAACCCCAGGGAGGTAGGTCAACAGGGCCCAGTCCCGAAGAGCTCCGTGCTTTTAAACACGGAACGTGTATGCAAGTCGGGCTTGCTGGTCGTGGAGACGACCGTAAAGGGCTTCGAGAAGCCATGGAAGATCCTCATCGATTCCGGGGCGTC